GAAGTTGTTTAGCATGATAGCATACCAGATCCGTGCCGGTTGCCACGTAAAAATGTCCAAAACACACAAACGTAATTTATACTTCCTGTATGGAGTTCATGATTTAATTTTATTCAGCAAGACTGGTATTTGGTCAATGTTTAGAATTTATTTTTTTATTGTTATGTTGCGTATTAGAGCAAATAAAAATTATGAATGAACTCCCATGGCAGTCGATCTATCACGTGACATGTCGTGAACGAACCATGCATCAACACCTGTACTAGAAGTGACATAATTATATGACATTACAGTGTGCCATTGCATTCAAAGTTGTCTATATTGACATTATTTTTATAAGAGTTTCAGAACTTTTCAATACTTCTCCCATAACTGTTATAAGTAACTACAATCTTAAGGCTAATAAAAACCTACTCTAAAATTCTTTTTTTTGTTATTAACATTCTTTATTAGCGGGAAGAACTTGACATTTTCGATTAGCATTGACCTCAGAAAGCCTAGTCCAGAGAAGACTGGAAGAAGGGTCCTTTTCTCTGCAGTGGGACGAGAACGGCGAATAGTAATAACATTCTCAAATAACAATATATGGATTTTTTTTAAATATCAGGTTCAAATTATAACACGCAGTCAGCCATCCGTTGAAATGGCTTTTCTAGTACATTATGTGGTAAAGTCAAAGTGTGGAAACCACGAGCACTTGTCGTTTGACACGGAACCCCACGATAAGTGGCGAGGGCCGAGGGGCTCAGCTACAGGTTATTAAACTGGGCCCCGCGGGGGAGTGTTCGTTTTATTTTAATATTAATAGCGATAAACAATCACACTCATATCGCACTCTTTTGTAGAGGGCGGTTTGAGAGCCTGAAGTGCACTGAAACGCGGTGGGGAATATGCCTTGTATGTTTGTTCTATGGATCTATTGGCTTTTTTAGATAATACAGTTAATAACTCTGTTCTTTTTTTGGTGTAGTCCGAAGTTCTTAGATAAGAAGGTTTCTAGATGCTAATAATAAAAAAGTGTCTGTCTACCATGGATCAGATATTTAAGCTTGTGTTGTTGATGTTGTATTAACGACATCACTAAAAACAAATCCAAACTATCAAAACTATATGGGTATCTAATACTAGCTTTTGCCCGCGACTCCCTTCGCGTGGTATAGTGAATTCCTACAGATTTTTTATTTAAAAACTATCCTATGTCCTTTCTTGAGTTCCAAACTATGTCTGTACCAAATTTCACAGAAATCGGTGCAATAGTTTAGGCGTGAAGAAAAGACAGACAGACAGAGTTACTTTCGCATTTATAATATTGGTTTGGATTATAAATTCGAAAATAACCCTGTCTGTCAGTGCAAAAATGTGCAGGAAGTCACTATTCCACGCGAACAAAGTCGCAGGCAAAAACAAAAACTAGTGAAAAAATAAATCAGTAGCAAAGCGTTGCTTTTCCCAAAATGTTTTAAATGTTGTAATTATCTTTATTAAGGATATAAAACTCAATTTAATACTTAGTTCTGAACCTTCCACATGTATGTAAATCCTATTTCATTTTGTTTAAGCCAGCGATTCGATCGGCGACATTGAATCCGGACCTAAGAAAAATGATTGTCATGTCAATTAAAATCTCATTATTTAGACGTACCTAGTCGTATTTTTTTTTCTGATTGACCATAATACCAACATAGGAAACGTATGTTGTTTTTTCTAATACTTAAATGTTAAGAAAACCTTTTTTTATAATATTTGTTAATGTTAGCAATGTATTTATAAATCGACGTTAAAATGTTTTTGGGGTCTTTTCGCCGATTAACTATGTGAATGAAAACAATTTTCCAGTCGAGCGACACGCGATTGCCTTTTAGAAATTGTTATGATTGAAATAATAAAACCATTGAATGAAACAAACCACCCTCATGGTGCACCCTAGCGTAACATTATCATATTTTCTTATGGTCAATATTGTCATTATTACTTAGAGCATAAGGTTGATAATATGTTGTGTTGTGTAGCGGTAAGTGTTAAGATTGTAATGCAGTAAATTCACTTCAATTTGACATGGAGTGGGTGCAGCGTCCTGGCATGCGGGTGGGGTGAGTCTGTTTTGTTTTTTATTTGTCCATCTACCCGACGACGACTTGTTCGAAGGGTGCATTTTTATTTTTTTGTAGCTTACAATCGGTATTTAAGTACTTTTCGTCTGTAGGTATTAAGTGATTTATTTAAAGAGTTTTGATTGTTATTTTTAGGCTGAATTTGCGACAGCTTTCACGTAGGCATAGATTGACATATTGTTTTTTTTGTGTAAGTATTTTGTAAAAATTGATCTTGTTCTAGAAATTTTATTTTGGAAAAACTTTGTATTTGTATTATCGCAATTTTGAGATATGAGTCAAATTACATACTAACTTTTAAACTTTCGTGTTTCATATTTACAACATATATATAGTTAGGCGGGTATTAACGCGGAAAATAATTATTTAAATACCTTGGTAGGCTTGACGTTTCGACCCGGTTGCACAAGTCGTGGTCACAAGCAGACAGAAGATGCGATGTCACAGTCCCTGCATGACCTCGGCCCAGAGCAGGAGAAGGAACGGGGGGGTTTTTAGTTAGTAAGAGTCTGACACTCCCTCCCGCCCGACCCTGGGCATGAGAAGTCATTTGATGATTTTCAAAAAAACCCTAATCCCAAAAGACCAGATTACCCCAAAAGAAAAAGGTATTGCGGATGTTCATGGGTGGCGCCAATTGCTTACCATCAGGTAATCCGCCCGTTCGTTTGCCGACATATTTTAATAAACAAAATTCTTTTTTTTTCTTTTTTTTTTTTAAAAAAAAAAACGTTGCCCCACACTAGGATTTTTTCCTGTGTCGTGGGTGCGTTTACAAACATACAATTTCACATGCACATCACACCCAGACCCGGAACAACAATCTGTGGATCACACAAAGAGTTGTTCCGTGCGGGAATCTAACCCGCGACACGTTGCGCGGCAGCCAAAATAAATAGGGTTTTCATTATAATTCCACTTGATCTTCGTAATCAAACCACAGCAAACCACAGTTGATATTTTCACTTCACATAATAAATATTCAGTTCAATTTAAATATTGATGCACTTGTCGTTATTAAATACGCGGTTACAACGCTTAACATGTTTAACATAGGAGGGTGCCTCCATGGGAGACTAACTCGAGCCATACGCTCTGGTAACCCTCACTGGAATTATTTTAAGGGAAGCGAGGGTGCCATGAACCTTGATTTAATTAAGGAAACGAAGGCAATTTAAGCAATTGTCGTCGTTATAGAACAGCAAACCACGTGTGACCATGTTAACCTCTTTGGTTATGGTGCTGGTGGCCGTGTTTATATTTGTGGTACAATCATTTTGAATGAAGTAAAGAATTATTATGAAGTATTTTAACAGCTAGGTAACCCTTTGTGGTTTTTTTAACAAGCGCGCCACATCTTCCTAAAACCGCTACAACTCTTGCAAGCTAGGGTCTATGGTAGATACATCCATGACAATTACGGAACACTGAAGTACAGTGTTCTAGTGACATGAATGACTGTCACGGGTCTCGCAACTAAATATAACAGAAGATATTATTAATTAAATGAACATTAAGTATATCAAATGTAATAGGAATTAAGATTATTTATAATTTAACTATGGTCCCAAGAGTCTATAATTTTAAATTATGGCATGCGACAGGGTAATTAAGATATAACCTCATTTTCTATCGTTGTACACAGATTATATCTACAATTTCAAATTACGAATATTGTAAGTAAACAAGTCTATAATACTTGCCTAGGTACCTCATATTTTAAATTAAAATGTCTTTCAATGAGTTCCAACTAGGTTAATATTGCAGCCTGTTTTTACCCGACTGCCAAAGAAGGAGGGTAATGTTTTTCGAGTGTATGTAAGTATGTATGTATGTCTTTTCCTTTGTGACCTCCTGTAGCCTAAACGGCTTGATGGATTTTGATGTATGAGGTATCGTTAGATTTGTCTTGATTACGGGAGTGTCATAGGATACATTTTATCCTAAAAGTCCCACGGGATAAAGACATAATAATATTTTTTCTAAATTTCCCTTTAAAAAAATATGTATGCGGTATCATTAGATTCATTTCAATCACGGGAGTAACGTTAAATAAAAACAGCTAAAAAGTTATAAATAAAAAAAATATTATTAAAAAAACAAAATACCCGACTGCACACTAAAAAAAGAGTAAAACAAGCCCCACAATACAAATTTACTGAATATAATTTATAAATGTTGATGGAAAGCATCGCAGGCGGGGACCACCTTGACCGCCACCAACGAAAATTCTGCTAAATGGTGCACAACAGAAATGACTATAAATAAGCCTCTGTTGGTCCCCGCCTGCGATGCTTTCCATCAACATTTATAAATTATATTCAGTAAATTTGTATTGTGGGGCTTGTTTTACTCTTTTTTTAGTGTGCAGTCGGGTATTTTGTTTTTTTAATAATATTTTTTTTATAATATTTAAATTATGCCCAGGAATATACATGTTTTTTTTTTATCAGAACATAATTTTTTTTTCTACATTAAAGTAGTTTTATTTGGTTTTGAAGAACAAGAAGAAATAAATAGGAAAAAGAAGAGAAAATTGTGGTATTTCATACATATACAAGGAGTGAAATATTTTAATGTTTTGATGGTGCACATAAGGTTGATTGGACCAGCATTGTGTTTTTGATAAAAGTAAGATTTTTAAAGATTTAATCGAATGGATAATTTCATCTGTACTTGTTTTCGATTTAGAATGAAATCACATCAGCTACCATACATAATCGGTGGTCTAAAATATTCATGTTCATTTCCGAAATAAAGATAAACACAAAAAGACGAAAGTACCACAGGGATGCGTTTTAATTTTCTTAACCCTATACAGCGTACCAATTCCTCTTTTTTTGTTAAAACGAGTTATGTGTCCAAGGCTGTAAGTACCAACGTATCTACCTGTGAGCGAGCCCTCTTAACTTAGAAGGCATTTCAAAACAAAGAAATGGAGTCCTTGCCCTCTCCGAGTAGCCCTCAGCGAGACTCACAAAGGGCTGTGATTGTGAGGGCGAGCGGGAGGGGGACACGGGTGAATGACCTTGCGCCGGGGTGGCCGCCCCCTGCGTACGCGCACGGTTGGCCGACGGTCTGTAACGTCCCTCATTCCTACAGTATTTTATTAAAATCTAGAGTTCCGGTCGCATTAATCGCAGCTTAAAATACCCGAGCGGGCGGAACGTAGAACATTGTCGAAGGAAACCTATAAGCAACTATATTTTCACACAGCAATCTAACAAGAAATTTTGAAAAAAGAATCAAGAAGATATCAGAAAAAGAACAATGAAATTCTATAACATTTTTTTAAATTATTAGAAAAAATAATTTGCTGCCAGCGACAAACGACGGCATTTTCTACTTTGCCCTCTTACAAAAAAAAGTTATCACTTACATAGGATTCTATTTCCACTATCGATAGAGTTACAGCTTGAATACAAGATAAGGAAACTACGTACTTCTAATGTAATGTGATTTTTTTCAATTTATGTCCGACACTGAATGCAAAGAATTTAACTTTAGGTAATTTTCTACATATAAGTATTTAGTACAAAGAATATAATATGTACCTATACACATTGTATTTACTCTCAATTCTTTAAGTACAAACTGATGATAATGTTATGCCTGTGTTGTTTGGTTTTAAGCAAAGATCTCTTGAACTAGAGAAAACTTTTCGAGTACACGCTCTGAGTATACAAACTTTTCTTTTGAATTCCATTCAAAATAGCTAGTTTTAAACTACGTTACTTGGGTGACCAAGCATGTAATGTTTTTTTTCTAATAATAAAACCAAGTATTGCATTGATATTTCGTCCCCAAAACTGTTTTCATACACAATTTCATCGAAATTGTTTTACATGTTTCCGAGATCCCGTGAACATTTTTATATTTTTTTTATGTGATAGGTCAGCAAACGAGCAAACGGATTGTCTGTTGGTAAGCAATCAGCGCCGCCCATGGACACCCCCAACGGCGGAGGAGCTACGAGTGCGATTAGGGATTTGGAGATTTTGGGAATGATGAGGGATTGGGGGAGGGGAAGGACTGGACCTCCGGTAACTACACGGCGAAACACAACGCTGTGTTTCACGCCGGTTTTCTGTGAGGCCGTTGTATTACTCCGGTCGAGCCGACCCATTCTCTTCCACAATTAAGAATAATTGTGCGTTTAAAGGTATAAAAATACAATAAGGTAGTTTTTTCAAGAATTACTTAATTGAATTCTTGATCCAAAAATGCATTGAAAATTACAAATGAAAAGCTAAAATTGTTTGAAAACTGCCTACTGAAAACCGAATTAAACCACTTCAATGAAAAATAGTTAATAATGGTTCTGTAATAAATAGTATACTGAATATCATTGAATTTCCACTGATTGTGATTGTATGGAGGAATGGTATTAGGCATTTCATTTACCTAAAAAATATTTATGGGAACGTAATAATAAAATAAAACGGAAATTCTGAAATAGAATAATGTTTTTTTTTTACCATATATCACTACGTAAGAGAACCTGACTAATTAAATAAAATAAATTATTATTAAAATGTTGCCTCATATAAAAAAGTGACTAGGTGTGACTTGACTAAAATCATGATCTTTGTCAAACTTGATACAATACATGTTATAGCGTGTGTCGAGGGAGACAGATATTTCGGTTTCTAGGAAAATATGGAAACAAATTAATATTTTTTTGCTAAGTTATTGCTGATGACGAGGACATGTAGAAGTGTAAACAGATGAGTCGTGATTGCACGTCGCCAGTAGGTTCGACCCCCACCTGTTGCGAGACCCCTCGCCGGAAGCAGGGAATTTGCATCACAATCAAACGTACCCTCGGCCGGCGCCCGTTCCCTGACGTCGCTTCGCATCGTGATTGACCCCGATCGTAATCTTTCTACCGTAAATGTTCATTTCCGGACCTATTTTCACAGAACCATCTAGGGGAAAAATCATAAAAGTTTCCTTTTTTCAAGAAAATGCTCAAGTACTTTAGGACACATTCAATCCCTTTTTGGGCAGTCTTGTAAAAAATGCTTAGTTTATGAAGCCAGTTGAGATCTGTTATGTTTAGATATATACTTAAGTGCATAATAAAAATGTTATAATTACAGATACGTACTCAATTAAATCTGTATTCTATTTTGTAAGTAGTTGTGTGCGCTTATTGTAAACGGATTTATGGATACTTATAGGTAAGTAATAAAAGGCGATGCGTGAGCAGCTTGATAAGTCCTTCTTTGGCCACCCTTAATAAGTAAAAACAAGCAATTTTTAAACGTTGTTGAATAACATGTAATTTAACTATGTGTAGCAAAGTGCAAACCACAATTGTTTGCTACTTGCATTAGCTAATAGAGAGAATCAGTTCTTTGTATTAACCCAGGGCCACATAAACGCCATTTTGATTTACCTATTCAGGTAGGTAGATGTAATTTGCTCCATGAAGTTAGTACAGTGGACAGGCGCTTATCGTAGCGTGCGCGGAATGGAGACCCTGCCATGACCTTCTGATTATTGTAGGACACGCTCGCCCCTCGCGTCCTGCGTGATCTTTGTTCTACGATTTCTATGTTCTAATGCCAAATGATTGGATCCAACGTTGGGCCCAATGATGGCGCCATCTTTAATGAATCGCACACTCGCTGTGCCCACGTGAGTTACTACGACGCGCAACGCGACGCCCGATATACTCATCGATTTGACGCTTTATTCAAAAAAGATTGTAAAGATACATCCGTAAAAGACATCGGTTTTCTTCTGTATTACAGCTTGGTTAGATAATACCAAGCCTCACCATGCAAATGCGAATGCTTTGTAGATCTAATTAGTACCACAACTACCAAATTTTCAGCCACTTAACACTACGTCTAAGGTTTAGAGCGCTTGAGTTTATTTTAGGTTTAATTGAAATAAGTGATCTGGCTTTGGTATGGAGACAATCGTTTTATGAAATTATAGGTATTGCTAATTTATGTATTTTGTCGTATGGTCTATTCGTCAGCACTCGTAGTAGGTACTTTGGTTAAACGATGGCTGATTTGTTGTTCTTTCTTCTTAATTCGTATCCGCAAATGAAAATATGAATAGCTTGGAATACCTTTTTTTAACTAGCTTCAATAGGTGTTTTTGTATATCGTATATCTTTTTTAAGATATAGGTAGGTAGGTACCTACCTACCACGTGTTTTTTATTAAGTACTTAAAAAGCGAATTAAACAGTCAGTTTTCTTTTCGAAATTTTTAGTTGACGTTTAAGTGACTCCTGAAAGACACGATATAAGTACTTATTAATGAAGGTATTTCAACACTAAATGAAATGTATTTTTTTGTGTGTTGAAAAAGCTTCTACCGTCCATCCGTAAGAAATAAACATGATTTAGTTTAGGGTAGGTGTAGAACAGTACAGGACTATATCCTAAAATGTGGTAATGTCTGGAAGTATTGTAACAGACTAACAAGTAATAGCAATTTTCTTGTCGGCCGCGCTCACGTCATGTCATGAGCTGACGGTGTCATCAACAGTAGTCACCTATTATAAAATTTTCCTGCGCGCTCGTGTGTGAGGGAGGCGACACGGCGGGGCGGGGGTGGTGCGCGGGCTCGGGGGGTGCGGGGCGCGCTCAAGGCGCAGAGGGCGCGGCGGCCGCTGCGCACCCGCCGGGGCCTCTCGATCACCGCCCGCGCAGCCGCTGATTCGCCTGCAACGACGCCGTGCGTCGTCGCGAGGGCAAATCTCTGGGGGATTTTCATCGTTTGCTTGACGTCATCCCGTTCAGTCTTTTGAGTATTTCTAAGGTAGGTACTATTTACACCATTCATCTATGGCGTTGATTACATTTTGGTAACCTTGAATTCCCTTCGAAACATCTCGAATGGGCCGGTACCGCGAAGCCCTTTCTCTAATTAAAAATTCCTACTTTTACGATATGCGTATCGCTATAATATACCTGCTGAGAAGTAGGAAAAACTAACGGTGCAAAGAATGATGAGTGCGCCTTTCGGATGCACACGTGTGGGACGCGTTTGCGCAAGGCGACTCCCAAACCGCGGCCGCAGGCGGCCATCGGGGCCACGAGCGGACACCAGAGAAAGGTGGAATTCACGCAAGTCATGCGATACAATATAACACGGAATTTTGGGCATTTTATCTTGACAAAATGACATTTCTTTTAGCTTAGTGCAACGACTTCTATCCATTACTTAATATTTACATTTAAGGTCCAGTTACATCTCTGAAAATAAGTACATTAAGTAATAGACTGGCACGGTACGATGTTACTGTTACGACTGTTGACAATATAACTAGTGTTCATTATTACAGACAAAGAGTAAAATTAAATTGTAATCCAGGTTCCCAAATTTAAACAGCCCCTAGACAACTCTGTACAGAAGCAAAAAGCTTACTTCAACAGATGTATTATCTAGTCAAAAAGTCTTAAATGTAAGCTGAACTACGATGTATAAATATGTAAGAAGTGTAGAAGGAAGTCGGTGGGATATATCACGGGTGGCTTGCTCGCTGCCCGGTGGACGATGGCTTGCTTGGTGCCGCGGAGCCCGCCAACTGTTTACACGTGGAGAAGGCTTGCGCAACGCTTGCCTGCCTCCGCGCAACGTTACTTTCCTTACGGTCACTACCCTTCACGGAGTGTCCCTCCGACACTCATTCAATGCCGACATCAAATTTCAATCTATGCATTGGAATTTAAACGGAATAATAAATATATAATACTGAGCATTGTTTGCAAATAGGACACATGTTTTACCACTTTGAATGGCAACTTTTTATGGATAGGACAAATAGGTTTTGTGCCAATGATTAAATCTATCTTTAACGATTATGTAGAAGATATACTAGATTGTCAAATATATATTTCTATAAACATTAGGGGTGATAATAAATACACGCCCATAAAGTGAAGGTCGCGATTATCATACAATGGCAACGAACCGATCTGTATGTCGGTGCGTCGTCGCACGGTGACAGAATCGTTGTTATGCAACTTATTTAAATTTATACTAAGCTTCTTGTTAGCTTCACTTTTTGTCCGACTCTACAGTTATTTTATTGAAATAGTTAAATAATATTGCTTTTTAACAGTTGTACGTGAATATAACATAGAGGAATTAAGTAAAATGCGATATCATTTTAAACAATGGCCATTTGTGCACCGTAAGCTTGGGCTCTTGTAGATAAAAACCGCGAAGTGTTCGTGTAGGAACATGAAACACGCAATATGTAACAAAAAGCTATAAGAGAAAAATAGTATCGATCGGAGACATGCGACAGAAATCGTTCCACATAGCCATAGACACGTTGTAATGCAATATTGTAGAGCTCGGCTTCAAACCGATCAATTTCCTGCTGATTTAGAAGTCAAAGTTCCAAGAGTTAACATAAATACACCTTATCTTATAACCTAACATAAGTGACTACGTACTTAGGTGGGTACTTACATATTATATTCAAATAGTTAGTTTTAATCAATTAAGTAGGTAACTATTTGAAAAACAACATGCAAATTGATTAGATACTTTCAATTAACAGATAGTATTTGCTTACTTATATTACTATTACTACAAAACGTAGATATTCTAACGTTCCTACTGATAACTATTGAATAGTCAATGTAAGCACTAATACCTAACTGGGAATTCAGTTAAGTAATGTTTAGATCAGTTACCTCAGAGGTGAATCTCTTCCGGGCACAAAGACGGAAATTTTGTCCCAAAATCCAAATTATAAAAATCACCGATACGCGTGTCGCTGCGTGGGTCGTTGACCCCTGTGGAACCACCCTGATTTCACATCGTTCGTCCCTTTCTAACGTGCGTATGATTACTATTGCTGAACTGTTCACTCCGCTCATTCTCACGTGCGCGCACGCTGCACTATGTCGCACGAGGCGCCTATCAAAAAGTTCTACTTACGTCTAGGATAGATTTTCAATTTTTTTAAATAATATTTTCGTCTTAAATCTTGTGTATTGTAAAAGTTTGCCTTCTTGAAACAACTCGATTATGGCTTCTTGACGAATTTGTAGATTTCTGCAGGAACTTAGTATTTTGTTATTATCTAACAAGTTTTGTCAAATTATGTATGATTCTGCTTACTTAAGCATAAAATATAGTAAATATTTTAATCGATTCTGTCAAACTATTCTGAAAATATTTTATTTTATTTTTACCACATTTTTTTCTTTCTCTTAGATTTTTCCAAGTAGTTTGATATCGTCAAGACCTTGTTGGTCAATTTCCAGATGCAATTGAGAGCTGCATATCTATTCCTTCTCTCCTTAGGAGAAATTATAGAGTTTATATATAATGGTTAAGGTTTATATAATGGGTTTTCGATTATAAGTACGCAACTAGCAGGATTGTCGGTCAAATAGAAGTGGTCTAAAATACATAAACATAGGGAAGCAATTGAAATAATGCACAAAGATTTTGTTTAGAAGGTCATACTTATTTCGTCATCTCTCCCCAATCTCTAAATCCCCGATACCCTAATCCCCAAAAGACAGGCAACGCACACAACACCTCTGGTGTTGCGAGTGTCCATGAGCAGTGCTTGCTTACTATCAGGTAATCGGTCTGTTCCCTTGCCACCATACCACAAAAGAAAAAAAAAACATAACTTAAATCAGGATTTAAAGCTAACTGGTACGGTACAATCTCAAATTACACTTGAAAAATTTCCCTATCGCAACAAATCTAGTACTAACTTAGTACTCACATAAGCTGTAGACGGGACGGGCTATCGTGTCAGCCTTGGACAATTTGGAAACTATGCAAGAATCTACCACATCATCAGCCTATAAGTGGCCACTGTATTGTTCTGAGCAAAGGCCTCTTCTCACATGGAGAAGGTTGGATCAACTCGCTTGTTTAAGGCGGCAAGTGCCAATTTCAAACTTATAATCAGACATTATGGCTCCAGGTTTCCTCACGAGGTTTTCCTTCATCGCAAGGACTATAGTCTCTTAACAACAAAATTAATAAATACATGTATACATCAATATAATTTTCCCGACAATGACAGCCTACATGAAGTGACGTGAGCCAGAGGAAAAGGACACTTCAACTTGCTTGAGAAGTCAAGAGTAAGGTTTTCCATGGGTATCGAGGACGTACCCGGAAGTACAATGAAAAGGAGTTCATTTTCAAGTAAAATATTCAGATTCAGATATTTTCTTGCTCACACTAAGGTACTTTCTTGTACTACTTATTAAATGCTATTCGTATTTTGTACATACTTATAAAGCCTAGGAGCATTTACCTAAAAAGTCCTAGTAGATATATCTATACTAATATTATAAAGAGGTAAAATTTGTAAGTTTGTATGTAGGGGGTATATTTGGAACCGCTGGTCGGATTGCCAAAATTATTTCACTGATAGATAGATACAATGTTCCTGAGTGCTATAGCCTATAAAACATAACGCTACGATCAAATGAAACCGCGTAAGAGTAGCTATTATAAGCTCGGTATAACTAGGTAGATAATACATATAGGTATTAATGTTTCATCTAAAATAAATTATCTCTGAACAAAATTTCAACAATAATGAACTATCAAAATAACACATGTGACTTCTTCCGAGTAATATGTACTTTCTACGATTATTTAAACACCACTGACATACGGTGAAGGAAAACATCGTTAGGAAACTTGGACTTATAATTTCTAACTATAAGTTTGAAATCGCCAATTCGCATTGAGCCAGCGTGGTGGTTCATGCTTAAACCTTCTTCGTGGGACGACAGGCCTTTGCTCAGCAGTGGGCACTTATAGGCTGATGGTGTGTAATGTGTGTGTGTAAAGTTCATTAAAGATACATGTATTAATACGTATAAAAAGGTTTCAACATTCATTTGTTTTCATCTTGGTTTTTATTTTAATTTTGTGTACAAAAAGGCTCAGAGAACGTATTTTGTACCGCTACGTTGCCGTAGCAGTCCCGGTTCAATTTGACCAACATTAACTTAGTTAACGTTAATTTCATATTCAAGTTAAAGTTAGCTGAGAACAATCAAAATAAAAGCAATTATAAAGATAACATCGTTCTCTTCTTTGGTACATTGTTCTGTATTCATTTTGACGTAGCACTTGCCTACCATTTTATTTTATGTAGGCAGGTGCTCACACGTATTCCTCAAGAAGTTTTGATACTTTGTCAGGCTTTTTAAACAGTGCTATCGCAAAAGTAACCTTATTCTAATCGATTTTCATATAATCGTGGTCGTTTTTATTTTTCATTTCGTTGAACTTTTCATATATAATCACAGTTCACAATATCCAACAGACAAATCGATGGATTAAATACTTACAACTTACTAAATAGGTGAAGTAACCAGTATCTGTTGCGAGTTGAGGTTTGCCACAGATAAATTAAGGATTTCTAAGTGGTATCACCGAATAAAAAAACATGTTATGTAGGTTAGGTTCTAGAATAAAATTTAAAAATAGACTTTATTCTATTTTTAAATTGCATTGATTGGCTTCCGGATACCTTGACTTAGGTCATTCATCATAGGTGCTAAATACTTATAGTAGGCAATATGTAATAATATACTTAGCTGTATTACAATATACCAAACTGCTATTTTTTTTTTAATAATTTTAGATTTTATTTCTTTCCAGCTTTGAGAGGATGTATAATTTTTTAAAGTTGCGATTAAGGTGTCTTTAGACGGGCAGAGCGAATGATGATTCATATTCAAATTGATATTTTACCATTGTTATTTACTCTTTGGTGTGTTCTAACAAAATGATGCGCAAATTTTGCGCTACATGGGTAGAGTCTCGTAATAAATGAGGTAGGTAGGCGTTCGTCGCCTCTCAAGGTCTCACGGCACGATGGTGGTGGTGGAGATTATCTTCGTACGTGTCCGTAGGTAACTATGTAGCCGACGACAGTACAAGTTCGGCTAGACCGACATCTTATATCACTATTGTGCATCGCTTCACACAACTATGTCTCGGAACCTTTGATCAAAACGCCGAATCGTAAAACAACTATAAAATAGTTACATACTAAAATCAAATGGCGCGCTCGCCTATACCCGCTCATGTATTTACTAGAGAAATTAAGGTTTCCTACAGTTACAGC